AGGAGGAGGAGGAGGAGGAGGAGGAGGAGGAGGAGGAGGAGGAGGAGGAGGAGGAGGAGGAGGAGGAGGGGGAGGAGGGGGAGGGGAGGAGGAGGGGGAGGAGGAGGAGGAGGAGGAAGAGGGAGAGGGAGAGGAAGAGGAAGGGAAATAAGAAGAAGACGAAGACGAATGCCAATCATAATTGTACTAACAATAATAATATGAAGAAGAAGGACAATAATAATACGAATGATACAACAAAGAAGAAAGAAGAAGAAGAAGAAGAGGAGGAGGAGGAGGAGGAGGAGGAGGAGAGGGAGGTGGACTTCCCATCGGTGCCGCCCGGGATCGCTGTGGCGGAGCTCTCCCTGAGCTCCCCCAGCTAGGTGCCCGCCACGCTCATGTCATGGAACGTCGGCAGCGAGCCCATGGGGGAAGTGAGAGGCGACAGGACTTCTCAGTTGCGGGGCTTCTCAGAAGTCCTCGCGCCTTCTGAGGACCCCTCTAATGAAGCCTCCTCTGGAATCCGAGGGTCCTTGCGTTGTGTCGGCGCGGCGGGCGGTCTAGGTGAGACGCCGTCAGTGGCCCATAATCGGTCTATGAGTCAGTATGGAAGGATCTGGCGATCGAAAAACCGCTGATCGTGTAAGGTTGAACGAGTGGAACGAACAATGACATAAATAGAAAAAAAACTCGGAGGTCCGCGCGGATTTCTCGGATTGGCGCTGGGGCCCCCCGGCGGCGCCTGCTTGTCCCCTGACTTCCTGGGGGCGCCTCTCTCCCCGTGCTCGCCTCCGAGTCGGCAAGCAACACCTTACAGGCACCTCGAGAAGCACTCCCACCTCTGCGATGGCACTTGGCCAGTTCCCTATCAGCTCTAGAGTGATGAGACTGCTCGCCTCAAGCTGCGCTGCAGCAGGGGAAGGAGCACCAGGAGTTGGAGAGGGAGGAGGACGACGATGAGACGAAGAGGAACATCACGTGATGTTCAGGAGGAGGCGGAGGTAAGGGTGGAGGAGGAGGAGGGGACACACCAGGAGGAGCAGGAGGATGCGGACGACGGCACCAGAGACCCTGGCGGTGCCTGCGACGGCGACGATGTCGGTGGCTGCGACGACTTCGACAGTGACGACGGCGCCGGTGACGACGGCCCCGCGGCGCCCCCCCGCGAGGCCCAGAGCACCGTCCGCCGGACACTGCCGACGAGTCGGACGCGTGGTCCCTGTGCCCGCGGGGCCCGTCGGCGGCGCTCGATCGCCGCTGGTTGCCTTCCTCCTCGCCTCGGAGAAGAAAACCCTCCTCCTCCTCCTGCTCCTCCTCCTCCCTCCACCTCCTCCCTCTCCTCTTCCTCCTCCTCCTCCTCTTCCTCCTCACCCTCCTCCATCTCCTCCTCCTCCTCCTCCTCCTCCTCCTCCTTCCCCTCCTCCTCCTCCCCCTCCTTCCCCTCCTCCCCCTCCTGCTCCTCCTCCTCCTCCTCCTCCTCCCTCCTCCTCCCTTCCTCCTCCTCCTCCTCCTCCTCCTCCTCCTCCTCCTCCTCCTCCTCCTCCTCCTCCTCCCCCTCCGCCTCCTCCACCTCCTCCTTCTCCGCCTCCTCAGGTCGCCTACGGCCCCGGGGGGGGGACCGTGCACCTCGGCCCTCCTGCTCCCGCGGGCGGCCAGGTCTCCACGAGCAGATGGAAGGGAACGGCTCTCGGCTGCAAGGGGGCCTGCTCGCGTTCGCGAGGTGGGCGTCACCCGCTCGTGCCTCGCCCTGGGGCTGCGCTCTGCGGACGAGGCGCATCTCCGCCTCCTTGACATCGCCTGGACGTGTGCACTTTTAGGGGGCCACATGCGAACCCTACCCCTACCCCCCACGATTTCTGAGGGGGAGGGTGGGTTCGCATGTGGCCCCCACATGTGAACCCCACCCTCCCCCTCAGAAATCGTGGGGGATAGGGGTAGGGTTCGCATGTGGCTCCCTAACTTCCTCTCGGCGAAGACCCTCGGGGGACAGCTTGGGACCCTCCTGCGGAGCACGACATCGGATAAATGCACGGGGAAGGCAAGTCCGAGCGATGGCGAGGCTTCGGGCTCCCGTCCGGGGGGGGGGGGGGGGGGCGGGCCGTCGGCGGCCCTGCGGGGCTCGAGGGAGCGTCGGGCGCAGCCCGCCGCAGGTCGTGGGCGAGAACGCCCCCGCGGATCCGCGGCCTCGCGCGCCGGGCCCGGCCGCGCGGATCGGTGGCGCTCTTGCGCGGATGCCCCCGCGCGGGACGTATGCTCGGCTCGAACGAATCAGGAGCGACAGAAGGACGCACACGTATATGAATCCACGCTGGTTTGTATGCCGCGGCCGGTCTCGCGGATCGAAGGGCCGTGCTCATGTACATAGCTGGGCGCGTACGTCCTTTGTGGGCTCCCTAACGAAAGGAGGGGATAGGGAAAGGGGGGGGTACAAAATCTGCTGCATGCAGCTGGTTTCGGCCCCGCCGCCGGGCCCATTCCTCGGTACATGGGTGCCTCCCGGCGCCGGGAGGCGCTACGTGAGCTGATTCTCAGACTCCCCCTTTGCTATCCCCCCCTTTCGCCCGGCCCGATATGCTTGCGTCCGCGTAGCCGCTGGATCGCGGCCCGGGATCCAGACAGACCGCGAGGGCGTGGATATGGGCCTCGGAACAAATTAGCGAACACTCCTGCCAAATTCATCTGTGAACGCTTCCCCCCTCCCCCCAATGTTCAAGGTTGGCGGTGGGTCTGATGAGGCGCACTTCGACCGCAGTCTCCCCCGCGCGTGCCAACATTGAGTTTTGGGGGGGGAGGGGGGGGTGTCCAGTAATTGTCTCCCTCTACCGGACCGCGAGGGCGTGGATACGGGTACGGCATCCGCTCGTGAGCAGGAGCGTATATTTCCTCCACGGTGCGCTCGGGCCCCCCTCGCGCTGCCTCTCGTGTCCTCCGTGTCCGGTGCCGCCGGCCTTCTGGCCCTCCTCGGGCTCGTCCTCTGCCCGTGGCCGGTGTCTGCTGGAGTCGAACTCCATGGTAAGGATATGTCGGGCGTGTCCCCCTACAGGGGGAGTTTCGACGACAAATAAAGATACCCCAAACATACCCCAAAAAGGTAAAACATACAAAAAAATGTCCCCAGACTGTTTTTGGATTATGTTTGGACTATTTTATATTTTTCGTCGAGAATCCCCCTGTAGGGGGACAGGCCCGACTTAATTGTAAGGATGCGTTGCTTTATCAAGGCCACCCTTGCGTCACTGCGTCTTAGGCTCATCCTGGGCCAATGTTGACGTTCACACAGCTCGAAATGGTCCATGTGACTTCAGGGGTCTGGCATCTTCACCGCGGATCCAAGATTCTCGGAAGTCCCGTTGACCATTCCAGGCTCCTTGGCTCTCAGCATTGGCTCAGGATGGGCCGAAGATGCAAGGATGCAAGGGCAGCATTAATGCAGCAGCGCATCCTTACTCTGGATGTGACTGTGTCTTCTCTCGGGGCTGCCTCCTCGGTGGCAGGCCAATCCACTCGGCGGGGCCAAGCGTAGGCCCTGACGCATGGGGCCCTCAGGACGAGGGTCTTCATGCCGGCGGCGAGACCCGTGGGGAAGTTTTAACGGGGGGCGGGCTCGGAAGGCCCCCGGCCTCCTGAGAAGTTCTCCAAGCCTTCCCCGAAGACGAGAGACGGCTCCTCAGAAGGCCAGAGGCCTGCTGAGGAGCCCCGCCGCCTCCCGAGACTGCCCGCCCCCCTCCCGCTCCCGCCCCAGGCCGCTCTCACTCCCTCCCCGGGCTCGCCGCCGATCAGGCATTATCAGGAGGAAAGAAAACACACAGACACAATTCATCGTCGCCTCCCAGGAAAATATAGGAAAATATGGGAACTGGGCGGGAAGAAACCCAGACAATATGGGAAAATATGTTTTTTGTTTAATTTGTGTGTATTTATTTGTGTGTCCCTGGGCCCCTTCACATTAGAAGCCCAACCTCGGACTCTTTCCTATCCCTAGGGCCGCATCCCGCGGGGCCCATCTCTGAACCGCCGATCCACTGCCCAGTGCCTGTTGCTCCTCTGGGCCTCCTCCTCTTCTCCCTTCTCCTTCGCCGCCCCTCCTGGGCTGGTGCTCTGCAGGGCGGAGTCCCCTCCTCTCCGTGGGGAGGCAGGCAATTATCATCGTCCCGTTGAGGCGGTGGTCGTGGATGGCCCCCCCAGGCGGTGGTGCTGGTTCAGGATTCGGGCTGCGTGCGCAAGTCCCCCCCCCTGGTTGTCACGGCTGCCCCCGAGTAGCCCGGGGCGGCCTCAACACCGCCCCAGGTGCCCCACGGGAGGCGGCGCCAGGGTGTTGGTACCATGCTGGACTCCTCGGGGAGCCTGCTGAGGCCCAGCGGCACTGCCGGGTGGGGCTGTAATTTCGGCATGCGCGCAGCCCAAAGCCCTGCCAGAGGAGGAGGAGGAGGAGGAGGAGGAGGGAGGAGGAGGAGGAGGAGGAGGAGGAGGAGGAGGAGGAGGAGGAGGAGGAGGAGGAGGAGGAGGAGGAGGAGGAGGAGGAGGAGGAGGAGGAGGAGGAGGAGGAGGACGAGGAGGAGGAGGAGGAGGAGGAGGTGGTGGTTCTGGCTCCATGTCAGCTTCGCACGCTGGGCCGTTGGTCGAGGGCGCAACACATGTCCGCATCCACGGCGTCGAGGGCCGGGCCGCTGGGCCGCACCCCCCCGCGGACACGGGGCGGCTTCTGCTCGCGAGTGCCCCGCGCGACACGCGTGTCCGTACGACCGCGTATCCGCGGGACCGCGGCCTCGCGGGGTCCGGACCGCGAGGGCGCGGATATTTCGGGGGTGGACAGAACCCCCAACAGTGACACGTCGATTAGTGAACTGTAAGTTCTTTCGTTTCTCGAGAGGGCGCCGTGGCCGTCATTTTCCAGGCTTGCGCCCGCCAGGTTTGGGCCTCAGGTCGTTTTCACTGAACCACGTTTTTACTAAAGGGGGGTCTGTCCATCCCAGAATCTTGCTCGCCGCTCGTGACTCTGAGCCCCCCTCGGCGCGGAGGTCCGTCGACAGCGACGACGTGCCCCCACCGCCGCAAGCGCCGTGGTGGCCGCCGGTCCCGCGGGACGAGCCCGCCTGCGGGCGCCCCGCCCCGGCCCTCTTCTTGTGGGGGGGCCGCGACTCCAGGGCAGTCGCAGCGGATCGTTTTGGGGATCGGCCCTCCTCCTGCCCCTCGCCCTGTCCCTCCTCCGCCCCGCCCTCCCCATCTCGATCCTCCTCCTCCTCGCCCGCCCCCTCCCCTTCTCTGTGGACGAAGAGGCCGGCGCTCTCTCTCTCTCTCTCTCTCTCTCTCTCTCTCTCTCTCTCTCTCCTCTCTCCTGCGGGGGGGGAGGACCGCCATGAAGCAAGCGGGTCCTGACGGAGGCGGCTCCTGGGTCCTGGAGAGGTCTTTCGCCATTGTTGTTGGCCCTCCAGGCCCGCCCCAGCGGGCCAAGGGGCCTGCATCGGCCACGCGCAGAGTGGGGTGACTACAGTCGGCCCACTCTAGTAGGTCGACCCTGCCAAATCAAGGGTACTCAAGATTTCGTAATAAAAAGGGAGGGGGGTCACAACCCCCCCAGACTACAAGTTTTAGACCCCCCCAGACCATCCATGAAAGGACGGCACTTTGCCCAGACACCCCCTAACCCTTCAAGACAGCTCAAATCAGACCCCCCCGCCAAATGTACCCCCCCTATTTTATTACGGAATCTGGAGTACCCTTGTGTCCTGGGTCTCGCGACCCATGCTTCCTACACTCCTGCGGCAGTGTGGCCCTCGGAAGGGTCTCGTGTCCTCTCTCGTGTCCTGTCCAATCGAGACCAGCTGTAAAGGGGGGAAGGCCTCTTAGAAGCACCCCTGCTTGTTAGAAGGCGCGGGCCTTACCTGTAGATGTAAGGCCGACGCCTTCAAAGAAACAGCCTCCTCAGAAGCCTTCCCCCCTCCCCCTACCCCCCTTCTGCGCGCCGCCAATTTCAGAAAGCGACTGGATGAAGAGCCGGGCCTGTCCAGTGCCCGTTCCCCGCAGAGTTTTTTCTTCAAAAGATGGAATGAGGCGGCTTCGAGGAAAGTGAGTTTACTCTGCATCTTCGTGGGACCTTTCTTGTTGTTAAAATTGCAGTCTTTTCTTGTAATCCGACGTTGGATCGACGCAGATTTGATGTGAATTCGACGTGGATTCGTCACGGATTCGACATGGATGCGACACGGTCTCGCCGCGCTGGACACGGATTCGACACGGATTCGATGCGGATCGCGGCGCGACGGGACAGAACATGTTACCCGAAGATGCAACACAAGAGAGTGAGGATGGGGAGGAGGATTGGTAGTGTGCTTATTTGTCGTGGCACCCCGCTTCGTTGGCTCGTGGGCCATTGCTGCAGGATGGATGCAGAGCTTGGGACGGTGGAAAATGGAGGGATGCAGAGAGAATTCGGTAGCAAATTTTGAGAGCCTCGTATACTCTTCTAGATTCCATCTTTCGCGTCGATTGCCGTCGACAAGCGTCTGGTAACCCCATGGGATAGCGCCGAGTTGGTGGGATCAGCACCGATTAGCGTCGATGAGCGTCGATTTAGCGTCGATCAGCGTCGACTAGCCAGAGCCACGTGGGAGGCTCTCATGAATTTCCACCAAAGAGGGGGGTCAGGGCTTAACCAATCTCCTTCCCCTATGGGCCATGGTATCTCACTCCTGCTAGATCACCCCCCCAAGTTCGGGATATGGGACATGGTGCATCGTCGAGTCATAGCGCGCGAAGTTAGCAACGCTTTGCGCGTTGCGGCCTGGACCAGGGAGCCGCCCTGCTCTTGTCGCGAGGAGTAGTTAGGCGACCTGGGTCACTCCTCTCCCTCTCACTCTCTCTCTCTCTCTCTCTCTGTGCCTCCCTTCGGGTCTGACGAAACCGGGGGGATTGGGGACGGGGAGTTACGAAACATCTGTGTGCGTGCGTGCATGCAGCTGCTTTAGGCCCCGCCGGTTGGCGGTTCCTCGATTCCTAAGCAAATGCCGGCACTCATGCGATCCGCATGCGCCAATGCGCAATATGTCTGCCAATGCGCAATAAGTTTGCCAATGCGCAATCTGTTTGCACATGCGCACGTGATCCGCATGTGATCCGCAATATGTTTGCCAATGCGCCGTCAGGGCGCGGCTCCACACAGCCGTTTGTCCGCACCGGGAGCAGCCGGTGGGCGGGGGGCAGGAGTCGATGATCCTCAGGACCATGGTTAGCCCAAGGTGTGTTTACCCCGTTCATCCCAACCAGCATATCATCACGTCGGCTTCGTCGTATAGTGGAGCGCCTCAGTGGGCAAACGCATGTTGGGGAGGACGAACGAGGAGGAGGAGGAGGAGGAGGAGGAGGAGGAGGAGGAACGGAGGAACACACGTTCTGAGGATCGTCGACGGAGGCGGCCTCGGGTGAGGCGGAGGGGGCCTCCGAAGGGCTGCGAGGGGGGCCCTCGGGGGCCTGCTGGCGGCCTGCCGATGGTCTTCGGCGTGCGCCGGACTCCTCTCTCTCAGTCTCTGTCTCTCTCGCTCTGTCTCTCTCTCTCTCTCTCTCTTTCTCTATATATCCGTTGGTTCCCCTCTCTCTCTCTCTCCTCCTTTCCATCTCTCTCTCTCTGTCTCTCTCTCTCTCTCTCTCCCTGCCTCTCTCTCTCTCTCTCTCGCTCCCTCTCTTTTCTCTCGCCCCTCCCTCCCTCTTTCCCTCTCTCTCTGTCTCTTCTTTCTTCCCTCTCTCTCTCTCTCCCTCCTCTTCCTCTCCCTCTCCCTCGACCTCTCGCCCCGTCCTGCCTCCCGGCGTGCCCGCCCGTCCGCCGAGAGAGAGAGAGAGAGAGAGGTGCGGCAGCGCCCTGCGCGCGTTCGAGGCGGCGGGCGCGCTGAGGGGCGAGCTCTCCAGCGGCTGCCTGGGCGCCGTAGCGCGCATCCAGGACGCCGCCAGCAGCTTTTTTTGCTGCCCCGCGGAGGAGGAGTCCCGCAGGAGAGAGAGAGAGAGAGTGAGTCAGAGAGATCTTTCTCCTCCTCCTTCGAGAGCGAGGGAGAGAGAGAGAGAGAGAGAGAGACAGAGACAGAGAGAGAGAGAGAGAGAGCCGGCGGGAGAGGGGAGGAGGTGGAGGGAGGGAGGGGATGGCCTCCTTCGAGCGGCTGCCTTGGCGCCGCAGCGCGCATCCAGGACGCGGCAGCAGCTTTTGTCACTCTGGGCCTCCCAGATGGGGTCGGAGAAGATGGGGTCGACGGATCGCGCCGCATCCAGTCCATCGCCGATGCGGCTCGATGTGACGCCCGATGTGCTTCACGTCGACGTCGCCGATGCATCGCCGACGTCGGCAATGCATCGCTGGTGCATCACTGATGCTTGGCCGATGCATCGCCGATGCATCGCCGATGTATCGGCGATGCGGCGCGACCCTCCGACCCCATCCACTCCGACCCCGTCTAGGAGGCCTGTAGTTCCCCAGCGGGAAATCGGCGGCGAGCGATGGGGGAAGTGAGAAAGGGCAGGCCTTCTCAGCGGGCGGTGGGACTTCTTAGGAGACTTCGCGCCCTCCGAGAAGTTGTCTGTGTCTTTGGGGAAGGCTTAGAACACTTCTCGAACAGTGGCGAAGCGTCCTGGCTCGCCTATAGGCCCGCCAGAGAAACTTCTAAGAATCTGCTCTGGTCTACATGACATGCTCTTGGAACAGTTCTGGCTGGGACCATCCTGTTTTCGCACATCGGGTGTGTTGTCTTAGAACATTGTTTTTGTTATTCGAGCTTTTTTGGGTTCTGAGAACATTTCGCGCTAGGACTAGGAATGCCGGGACGGTCAACCCTGTTGAAATTTCTCTGCCTTCGAAGAAGGTCCGCCCCTTCTCGCTTCGCCACGAAGCTTGCCGCCGAAAGAAGAGCGAGAGAGAGAGAGAGAGAGAGGACAGCCAGCGGAAGAGGGGAGGATGAGGGGGGAAGGTCTTTCGAGCGGCTGCGTGTGCGCCGTAGCGCGCATCCAGCACGCCGCAGCAGCTTGTGTTGCCCATCGAGAGAGAGAGAGAGAGAGAGAGAACCGGCCGAAGCGGGAAGGAGGGAGTGGGGTAGGGAGGTCTTTTGAGCGGCTGCCTGGGCGCCGTGGCGCGCATGAAGGACGCCGCAGCCGACCCAGCGAGGACAAGCCCAGCAGGAGAGAGAAAGAGAGAGAGAGAGGGGGAGAAAGAGAGACAGAGAGAGAGAGAGAGAGCCGGCCGAAGAGGTGGGGGGGAGGGCGCTCGAGTCGAGCGGCTGCCTGGGCGCCGCAGCGCGCATCCGGGACGCCGCAGCAGCTTCCAGGACGTGCGCGCACGTGAGTCCCCGCGGGCTTCGAGGGTACGCGCTGCGCGCACGTTCGTGACACGAGCCTGGCCCCGCGGACTCGGAGGGGGGCCATCCTCGTGTGCGCGGCTGGGCGCGTGCGTGTTCTGGTGGGCCCCCCTTACCCTCTGCCCAGCGAGGAAGCCCAGCAGAAGAGTGAGAGAGAGGGAGAGAGGGAGGGAGAGGTGGCCGAAGAGGGGGGGGGGGCGGGCACTGCTTGCTTGTTGAGGTCACCCGCAGAGCGCCCTGTTGCCGAGGCGAGGGAGGAGGGGGAACAGGAGGAGGAGGAGGGGGAGGAACGCCATCGGTGAGGAGGAGGAGGAGGAGGAGGAGGAGAAGGAGGAGGAGGAGGAGGAGGAGGAGGAGGAACGGCGAGCAGGACGAGAAGCAGCAGGAGGAGGAGGCTGAGGAGGACCAGGAGGAGGAGGAGGAAACGACGGCGGAGGGGGAGGGGGACGAGGAGGAGGGAGGAGGGATGAGGGAGGAGGGAGGAGGGCGGATGGCGGAGGAGGAGGAGGAGGAGGAGGAGGAGGAGGAGGAGGAGGAGGAGGAGGAGGAGGAGGAGGAGAGGGAGGCGGAGAAGGAGGACCTTCCCATCCTCCCCTCTCCCCCGTCCTACATCTTGTGCTGGTGGTGGACACTTCGCCCAGCAGCTCCCCTGCGTGTGGCCGGGACGCGCGGGCCATGCGCGCCTCTTCCTGGCTGTGCCGGGCGCGGAGTGCCGGGCGCGGAGGAGGGACGGGGCCTCCTCGCGCCGCGGAGCGCGAAGGGTCGCGCTGGGAGGCCTTGCCATTTTCGGCACGCCGGGGGCCCTCGCCGGGCCCCGCGGCCGTCAAAGAGAGGCTCAGGAGGGAAACAGCACACACACAGACACAATCAATCGTCGATTCCCCAGAAAAGATGGGAAAACATGGGAAGTGGGGGGGGGACAAAAACCCAGAACATATGAGAAAATATGGGGGATCCTGTTATTTGTGTGTATTTATTTGTGTGCCCCAGGGCCCCTTCAGAGACTTTTGGGGGCGAAGAGCGGGCCCCGGGGAAGGGGTCCCAGTCCTCTGGAGGTCCACGCCGCGAAGGACTGCGACGGCGGAGGTCTGAGGAGGAAGGGGCAGGGATGGAGAGGGAGAGGCGGCCTTGCGTGTCGACGTCAGGGATGACTTGCGCCACACTCCCAGGCAGCAGATGTCACGGGTAGCCCTCGGCACGGTACATACTATAGGTATGTAAACCGCTCTTTCGTTGTCATTTTCCGTGTCTTTATCGAGTGATTAGCTAAATCGGCTTGATCTCGACAGCGGCCGGGAGAGCTTCGTTCCGCACGGGCCAAGCGTGTGTCGACAACTTGGAACGTATCTAAGTTGGAGTCTCAACGGAAGCGCCCCAAAGATCATTGTTTGGGGCCCTTACATTGAGACACAGCGGAAACGACAGATGTTGGCGAGGCGACCATGGCCATACATCGTTTGACCACAACGGCGAATTTGTTGTCACAGGAAGGATCGGCCTGTTAATTCTTCCATGGGGGATACAGCATGCACAGACATGGCCAGTGTGAGTATGTGTGTGTGCGTATGTGCCATTTCTCCAAACGGTGCCTGCACGAGTGGTAAAATCTTCTGTGTTGACGGATTCATTGACTGTCGTTTGTGGGTTCTCGCCCCGTGGGCGCCTCAGAGGCGCCTCATGCGCTGGTCATCATTTCCGAACTTTGGGCCCAGCGTGCGTTAACTCGCATTCCGGGACTCTCGGCCAGTGGGCGCGCGTGGGCGCTTCCATGGCGCCCGCTTGCGCTGGTCGATGTTTCCGGACTCGCATAGTTTGCACCACGTAAGTAGTTTGCGCCACATAGCTCACAACCCTTAGATTGCACCACGCCGCTTGCAACCCATTCACTACACGCGTGTATGCAGCACGTTGCTTATCCACAATATCGGGCCACGTATGTATGTATGCATGCATGGATGCATGCATGCATGCATGCAAGTATGTATGTAGGCATATATATATATATATATATATGTGTATAGGTATGTATCGCCAGGCACGTTGCTCTGGCGGGGCAGTGCCCGGCGCTCGACGGCGCATGGAGGGCCCGGGGACCCCGGGGTCCCTGTCGGGCGCCGGGGGCTCTCCAAGATCGCCCGAAGACGTCCCCGATCGCCAATTCTTTACGCTTCGCGTATCCCCACCAGCCCATCTCACAACAGCAACTCATGCGAAGCATGCCGACAGTCGTGTTTTTCAGGCGTGTGTCCGTTTGGCCCCGCATATCTCCCCTGTTCCTCGTTCCTCCCACCTCCTTGTACATCCTCCTTGTGGGGGGAGCGGGAGAAGGACGAGGCGGAGGAGGAGGGAGATAAAGCGCTCCTCGTGATTTGAGTCGTTTGGGGTTTCTCGTCCTGGTGTGAGTCGTTCGGGCCCTTCTTCCTGGTGTGAGTCGTTCGGGCTCTTCGTGGTGTGAGTCGTTCGGGCTCTTCGTCCTGGTGTGAGTCGTTCGGGCTTCTCGTGGTGTGAGTTGTTCGGGCCCCTCATCCTGGTGTGAGTCGTTCGGGCCCCTCCTCCTGGTGTGACTCGTTCGGGCTCCTCGTGGTGTGAGTCGTTCGGGGCCCGCGTCGTGGTGTGAGTCGTTCGGGCTCCTCGTGGTGTGAGTCGTTCGGGCGCCTCGTCCTGGTGTGAGTCGTTCGGGCCCCTCCCGTGGGGCCTCTTAGGGGGCCTCTTGGGAGCCTCTTGGGGCCTCTCGGGGCCTCTTGGGGGCCCTCTGGGGGCCTCTTGGGGGCCTCTTGGGGGCCTCTTGGGGGCCTCTTGGGGGCCTCTTGGGGCCTCTTGGGGGCCTCGTGGGGGCCTCTTGGAGGCCTCTAGGGAGGCTCCTGGGGGCCTCTTGGGGCCATCTTGGGGCCTCTTGCGACCTCCTCAGGAGCGCAAAGAAGCGCTGCCCCCTGAGAAGGACAACATGAGCCCAAAACCTTCGTAAAATCACTGATTTTGAGAACAAGGAAGAGGAGCGCTGCCCCCTTCAGAAGGCCAAAATGGGGCCAAAACCGTAGTAACATCAATGATGTTGGCTTCACAGAAGAGGAGAGAGTTTTTTCTGGATCCCCCCGTCGGGGGCAGAATCCTCGTGAGGGTCGTCGTTTTTTAGCCCTCCCAGGAGTAGAAAAAGACCCCTCTAACCACCCGCGGCCCGCCCTCTCCAGGCCCAGGGGGAGGGGGTAGGGGTAGGGGGAGGGGTAAACCCCTCCCCGAAGGGGAAGAAGGGGGTTGGGGGGTTGAGGACAGAGGGGGCTCTCTAAACCACTCACGCCCTAAAGGGCTGGTGGGATAACTGCCCTAGATTACCCCAGAATTAGCCCCTGACTGTCCAAGAGGCTTCCAAGACGCCCCAAGAGGCATCCAAGATTCTTCCGAAGGAGCCCCAGGATGCAAAACTCATTCATTTGCCTGAGGTTTTGACGGGTGTTCGAGTTCTCGCCTTTTCAGTGTTCCGACGCTCCACAACGGTCCAAGAGGCCCCAATGTCCGTTCCAAGAGCCTAAGAGGCCTAGAAGACGGCCCCAAGACGGCCCAACAAGACGACCCGAGAGGCTGTCAAGATGCCTTCAGAGGGCCC